CACCTTTTTCCGGAGGGGTGAAGCCCTATTCCACGAACCACAAAGCCACCCTTCAACAAGGGGTGAGTCTTCGAACCCCTTGTACGATAAATTCGAAACTAGCATGGCGGGGGAAGAAATAGGGAGTGGTGAAACGTGATGCGAGTGATCGTCTCCTGGGAAATTTCTGGAAAATTACCTCCAACTTCCGATCTATCCAGTTTTTATTGCCATCTACAGTAATTTTACTCGCAATTTTGTCGGTAAGATAGGAATCGTTCGATAGTTAATACACAGAAATTTACTGTATCAACTGTTAAAGGAAAGATAAATTATCAACATGGTTAATATTGCTGCTATCTATTTAAAAAGAAATGTAACTTTTGATTGAAATCTTATTACCTCGGTCAATAAATGTGCATTTGATCGTAAAGCTAGATGCTGAATTATTGCAACACACGGTTCTCTGTGTGTATAATAAATTTTGCAATAATTATTTGACTTTACTTTAATACAAACTTAAATGAAATACTTGCAATAATAAAAAAAGTAATAATTAAAATCTAAATACTTTTTTTTTACATTACTTGTAAACCGGAATTCTATTATTTTTAGTTATACCGATTGAAATTTTACTTACATTAGAATTATTGTAGAACGATTAATGACTTTCTTTTTTTTTTATAATAATTATGTTATAATAATAAACTTGAAAAAAGTTATAATATTGCAAAATTTAGTTATATAGCGTACAACTTGAAAGTTGCGTGATCGAAATTATTATTCACCCTATTGTATAGGTTTATGCGAGGGTTGTGTGTTTAATTCAATATCCTTCAATTATTAAATATTATCCTAATCATATGCGACAACTGCTGAACATATAGATAAACATATTTGATTTCTTAGAAGCATACGTGTAAAGGAATTTATCAAAGTGACGTATCAATAGAGAAAATAAATTCCGTCCTTCAAATCAACTGGGTGAAATAGAGTAGGCTATTTCAGAGTCAGTTTTATATCCTGTATCTCTCTCTCTCTCTCTCTCTCTCTCTCTCTCTCTCTCTCAACATATGATTGAATTAATTATTTTATATATATATATAAAAATTCTTGCATTTAGAATGTAAATTCTTGGAGTCTTTTTATCACGTGGTTTATCTGATCTCGAAAATAACAAAATGCTAAACATTTGAAAGACCTTCGTCGAAAACTTGTTCGTTCATTCGTTCGTTCATTTGTTCATTCGTTCGTTCGTTCGTTCGTAGAAGGTTACAGTATTCAAAAGTTCGTTTGAGATAAACGTTACGCCTGGTACGATATTTATTGTGCAATTCTCAACGAAATTACCGAGTTTTTCCTTATTATTCTTAAGACGATTCTATTTCATTAGAACATGACATTCTAATTTGTATGATATTCAAGTTCCTACGGTGAATAACATTGTCATATATATTAGCTCATTTTACTCAGGGACGGTCTTACGTTAGACTTAAACGCGAAAGAAATTCAACCAAGCGTCGAATTTATTTTGAAACTAGTGTATCATCGTAAATCACAAAATTTCGAACATTAATGCAACACGAACAATAACCGTAACAATGTTTACTTTCAAAGGGATCATGTTTTTTTATCATTACCTTGCTTATCGTTTGCATTTGGGTTTTTTACTATTAGCTATCGTATATTTAAATTAAATAATAATGTTAACATAATCAAGATTTTTTTTCTTATCCAAAATTTATTAATATTATTACTAAGTTTACTCTTAGGGAGGTTGTTTTTTGGACGGGTTTAATTAAGATGAACACTATATTTATCCGTTGAACGTTTCGTCTC